AAGAGAGGGATTAAAGCCAACACTACATACCCAGCGGCAGAGAGGTGTCCCAGCCTTGCTCGAAAACTGTCCATGCTCCAGTGCCTTATTGCTCTGCGAGAGGATGCTGGATGCAGCTGCTGAGAGACACAGGGTAGGAAACCAAAGCCATGGGCATCAGAGAGCCAGAACTTAAAAAAAAAAAAAAAAAGAAAGATGTTTTAAGGCAATTCAAATCAGCAATGCTGACAATTCCTCCTGAAGCGAGTGGGCAAACCTGGTGTGTGAAGTCCGGAGAGTAACCTCTCTACAGTACAGAGCTGGGATGCACAGCACTGCTTGGGCTTTACACCTCTTCTGGTCTTACTGTTGTTGCAGACAAGGCTTATTTTCATGACACATAGCTGAAGAAAAATGAGTCAATGACATATGTTCTGATGAAGATGAAACCAGCATCACATGGAACATGAGGTGTCACCATCCCTCATGGGGAAATGAGCTGTCTCATCCCAGCTGACTTCTCCTCCCACTGCTCACCATCACTTCTCTCGGAGAGAAGGGGAGCTTTTCGTCTTTCAGACATCATCATGGCACAAAGGGCATGGTAGGATCCGGCAAACCACATGCTGATAATTGTTCGTCTTTTCTGGCAGGCTGCTGCTCCCTGCTGAAACAGCCAGCTTGTGTGCAGGGCACCCAAATCGCTGAAAGGCTCATCTCATAATCCTAGCAGAGGAAGATGAAGCTTCAAACTTGAACCTTTCCCAATTCCCTATAGCCAGCAAAGCCAGTGCAAAGAAAGCCCTGCCACAGGCAGAATTCCCAAAGTGCTGAGAAGCTCCCAGACGTGAAAGACAGGACATGTGGTCTCCATGAGACTGAATTGCCTGACCCCTGGGATGTGCAGGACACATTGCTCCAGCCACCAAACCCCCTTGCCAGGAGATGAGGACTAGCCCATGGCGTTTGTTCCTCAGTTACTTTTCCAAAGAAGAGGATTCCTCCTCCTTCGATCCGCTGGCACACAAGAAACACGTATCACTGCTGCCTGCCCCCTTGCACGGAGCCCGTGGGTTACAGGATCCTTCCCTGGCTCCCACCAAACCCGTCCTGTCGCCAGACGTTCTCACGTTCAGCCACTGCTTGTGGGCAAAGGCAACCCAGCTCACCCAGCCACCGCTGAGCCTCTTCCTCACGGGGACATGCTGTCATGTGCTGATCCAAGCCCTTCGGCCGGGTGGGAACCACGAGGCTCCCGGGATGTTCTCATGCTTCCCTGGGTGGGAGAGGACAAAGGGCTGGAGGTCAGCCCTGTCCCGGCCACCCCCAGGGACAGAGCACGTGGGGCTCTGCTCTCCGTGAGCAGTGGGAGCGCAAGGCCTTCGACCTCACGGCAGCGACGGTCATCGGAGGACGAGCGATCACGAGCACAAGTGGGCACAGCAAACCCTGCCTGCTTCCTCGGCCCTTCAGGTACCAGACAAGGTTCTTCCTGCCCTTGCTGCTCCACTCAACGACTCTGCTTTATTGCTAGAGTTTTTCTTTTTCCCACATAGCTGGTAGAGCAAAGGTTTCCTCCCGGTGCCCTGGAGGGAATGAGAAACTCCGGCTGGCTCTAACCGGGAAGAGGCACCAGCCAGGCGGGCGTTAAAGAAAGTGCTATTTGTTTGGAGCATCCATAGCAATTGCTTGCACAGGCCATTAATTAGGTCTTGAATTCAATTTGCAGACTATAAAGGACCAGCCCAAAAGACACACAGCTGTGCTCTGCAAAACTCATCAGGTTCTCCTTAGCCCCTATTCTGAGATTAAACTTCTTTCTCATTATATTTCTGAGCTAATTGATTTCATCAGCCCTCAGGACCCCATCCAGGCTAAGGAGGCAGCTTTCTAGGCTGCAAAAAAAATATTAGCAATAAGGAACCAAAAAACCCTCAAGTCCACACTGTAGTGATGAGTGTTGTCTGAGCTTGCTGCCTCATCTGGCAAAGGGGAACTGAAGTCTGTGGGGAGCTGTGCTTGACCAGTAACTCCAGACAGCACCAAGAAGTCGTTGTATACAAAGCCAAACACTAGATTTTCCTCTGACTTAACCAAAAATTAGTGCCTGTGGGCTGGACTATACTAAATCTAGGATACCTTCTATTTCATACCGGAAACTGATAACCTCTAAATAAGCTAGAATTGTCAAAACCTAACTTTCTCCAGAATACAATGAACAAGCTTGCTTCACAAAAAAAAAAAAAAAAAAAAATTAGAAGCGTGTGTGTTCCTACAGACACAGGAGGACGGTGGGGTGGGCGAAGGCTGGGAAGCAGGACAGGGCAGGACACGGCGGGGCCACGTATCTCCGCGAAGCAACTGTGACATCTTGCGGTCACGTCCTGCGGAAGTGCCCCGAGGTCTGTCTTGGTTCCAGCTTGGAAAGTAAAGGAGTCCGTAAGTGGGAGAGTTTTAAGGAAAATGGAAGAAGCGAAGGAGAAAGGGGAGGCCGGCGAGCCCGTGTTGGGGATGCACGGGCTGTGTCGCCCCGGGATGCTCCGAGGTGCCTTTTCCCACCCTGTGTCACTGGGGGTCTTGTGGCCCAGTGCCCAGTGGTATAAAAGGGCTTTGCTTTCCTGACAAGCTCCAGTCTCTATAGAGCTCGAGCTCTAAAATTTTCTAATATCCCTGATTTAGACCTTTTAGCACTATAGACAAAGAAGAGACCCACATGCTGGAACTACCTTGCTGTAACTACAGAAAAACGGGCTTTCCTTTGTATCGTAGCCAGAAAGAAGAGCCTGGCTTTGCTCTGATCAGGGATAGGGACTGAGCTTGTACCCACCAGGATGCAGATTTTAAATCCATTTGTGCCTTCCAGCCTGTGGTGCTCACAGAGTGGGTCTCTTGCCAAGACACCTGCAAGTTCAACCTGTAGTGACAGGGTAACCCCACGGCGGTGATGGTGATGGGAGGGGGTGCAATGTAAAGGAGCTGCTGTATCACAGGTAGAGCGTGGAGTACATGAACTATACAGCTTAAGAAAATGACTGCGTAAAGAAGACGAATGGAGGGCTAAAAATGGGATGATTTAAGGCTGAAGATATTTCTCCATGGCAATATCATCAGCACCTGTTGATCATTTTATTCTGCCAATTCAAGAAATTGAGGGTGTGGGATAGATTAGCCCATTAGTGGTGATTCTTTGCTTGTTAAAATCACATGCAAATGAACAATTTATGGTGATACAGAGCCAGGTCATATCTTCTCAGGTTTCTTCTAAAGAAATATAGAAAAATCTCAGCATTATCCATTCAGTGACTGATGAGGGAGAAATGTGATAAGCGAACCAAGGCTGTCTGACCTGTGATAGCTGAATTTCCCCTATCATGCCAAGCTTTCATTTGTTTCAGAATTTTTTTCTTTCCCTCCTGAACTTCCAGCATCACTGCTGGGTGAAAACAGGCTGTGCACAGCCCCAGGATCACTCACTGCTGGGAAGACTCACATAGCAGCTCTTCTGTGTGAACAGTTTGTAAAGCAACTTGAACACTTCTGGGATAAAAGACACTATAAAATGCTTTCCTACTGTAAATAAACCAGAACCATTTTCCTCCAAGTGTCTCAGGAGAACATGTGGATGTTGGTCTGGGATTGGACGGGGAACATCAAAGGAGTAAAGAAGAGATATTCTGGATGTTGAATTTTAATGCATGAGTGGCATTTCCTGTTAATTAAAATTCACAAGCAGGCTCTTAATGTGAATGGCTTTTGTGATGGTTTTTGGATTTTTACATTCCTAGAGAAACAGTGCATAGGAAGGCAAAGTTCCTTTAAAATAACACAGTCAAAGCTATAGAGAAGGTTAGTACAGCAATTGAAATGCCCTTTCCTGGAAATTTTCATATCTCTACTCACATCGCAGACCCTTCAATAATAACGGGGTTGACTTACCGTTAAAAGCTGCTTTTGGCAAATATTAGTACTAGCAGCAGCAAACAGAATCAGAAGTCATTCACGAAGGCCAGTTCACCCTTGAGCCCCAGAAATACTAAATCATAAAATCTCTGTTTAAAAAAAGAATTAATTAAAAAATCAAGCATGCCATACTAGTCCTGCTCTCACAGATGCCTGGATATGAAAAAGCAGAATTA